GTGGTACCACCTCCTCCACCACTTCACCAGTAATACCTCCGCCGACATTCCATCCTCCATCAATGACGCTGCCTCCCCACCACCCCCTCCTCTATGAACGACACCTTCACCCCCACCCCCTCCTCCATCAGTAACACGGCCATTTCCACCACCATCATCACCACCTCCTGCAACACCACCACCACCTTCTCCACCAGCCCCCCCACCACCACGAGGATAAGGATGGAAAAAAAGAGGTAAGCCCCTTAAACAAACTAGGCTGTTTGGGGCCTTCTTAGATCTTTCCACCTTCCAACCCACCCACACTCTGCTTCCCGACGGACGTGTGACTTCGTGGCACAGTGACCCCTTCGCTAATCCCTTCACGCTGAGATAAGGGACCAATCTGTGCTGTCAAGGCAGTCAACACATAGAAAAAAAATCTACTTACATTCCTGTATTTTGCAGTGAATTAAAAAGCAAAGACTTCCAGCACTCAGCACACGGGAGGCACTATCTGGTAAATGTTTGGAGGACCGAACTCCTTCTACTAAGGCCCACATGCCTGCCCTGTTCTGACACTCACAGCTACGGAATCACACATGAGCTATTCATCTGTAGGGGCTCAAAAAAATTGTATATATATATGTATATATATATATGTATGTGTATATACATATATATATAGGTCCTATAGGTATATGTATATATGTATGTGTGTTTATGTATATATACACACTTCACACGTACATAACTTCACACATTGACTCTAAATTCTAGTTGCTACAGATTTCAAATCATCAGAAAGCTAAAATAACCAGTTTTTTTATAGTGTCACACTATGATAACTGATGTTCGTAATTATGGCCTTGAGGCAAGGCAAGCTCCTTAACTGCCTTCTAAATTATCGAAGATCAAATTATGTTCAGTTGCATTTTAGTGTTAAGTGTATTTTAATTATATTCTCATTCTTGGAAAATTAGTAACCCACACGGCTGAAATAGATGATCAAGGCAGCTTTGCGAATAAAACATTCTGGATAAGACTCAGATTTCCAGAATGTTCTCAAAAACCCATAGTCTGCCATCATTCTAGGTAAATGAGAATTTAGAATTTATATCCTCTTTTTCCTAAAATAAAATGGCCACTTGTAAACAGGTGTATTATGGAATACTATTTTAAAATTAAGTAATAAAGGAGGGAGGAGAGGCAGAAGAACATATGAAGCCAATAGCAACACATTAGAATAGAACACACATGTTACAATGTCTCTAGTTTAGCTGACAATAAGCCCACATTTGTCTTTGAGCTTCCTAGCAGGCAAGGCAAAGAAGAAAACATGATCAGTGGCCACATTCACAGCATCCCAAAGACTTGACTATTCAGTCCGAAGAATCATTCCTGGTACTTCTCTCACACAGAAGTTACTTACATCACACACAACGCGAATCATCAACAACATCCTTACCCACTTGCTTGCAAAAAACACAACAGTGATTTTCTGCAGGTTGTATCTCCTAATACCCCAAGGATGGAGGTCAGAAACTCAAATGCCACTGAAAACACTTGAGATGGGCTAGGCTGGGAGAACGGCAGGGGGTGGTAGGCAGATAAGGACTGTAATAAGCGGAAAAGTTTGTCTAGCATCTGAAGGAGGCAGCAGTGACTCAGCTCCACCCAACTGCCCCTGTGTGGGAATATGGGCCCCATGCTTCCAGAAAGTCCAATGTTTTAAATTATGAAATATTTCAAGTACACAAAAGAAGAACTATCATAGATACATGTAGGAAGTAAGTAACAGTAATAAAACAAATTACCTGCATACCCCCTCATTGCCTGTATCACTTAAGACACAGAATGGTCTGGTACTCTCGAGAACCTCTCCTCGTTAGCACTACCCTGCTTTTCATACTTGTCATCCCTCTGGTTTTCTGTATGGTTTACCACATGCATGGATTCCTAACCTACCTCCTGTTCCATTCTACATTCTCCTCATCTTTATATAAATAAACATGTTCTGCAACTTGCCACGCGGTACTCCCGAGACCCACCCACGCTGACGTGCACAGCTGAGGCTCGTCCATTCCCACTGCTGTACTGATCGCTATGCCACGCCCACCACACCTTAAAAATCTCTCTCACTGATGGATGTTCCAGTTGCACTGAATGTTCTGTCATCATGAGCAATGCTAGAGACATGGCTGCCTGTGTCTCTCCTGGTGCGTGTAGGCAAGTGTTTCGCTAGGGTGGGGCTCAAATCTCGAGTTTAACATTGGCCAAGTCAGTTGCAATTTAAAAAGAACAGGGGAGGTGCCGAGATGGCAGAGTAGAGAGACCCAGCTCACCCTCTCTCACAGGTACACCAAGAATTACACCTACAAACCCACTGAATTGCACACAACACCTACTGAACTCCGCAGGAGTGTCTCTCGTGTCGAAATACAGGAGGAGTCTCAAAAAATCCAATAAACAAGTTTACACTGTAGAGCACAGGGAACTTTATTTAATACCTTGTAATAACTTATGGTGAAAAAGAATATGAAAATGAATATATGTATGTGCATGTATCACTGAAGCTTTATGCTGTACACCAGAAATTGATACATTATAAACTGATTGTACTTCAATAAAAATATATTGAAAAAATAATTTAAAAAATAAAAAGAACATTCAGATCAACTCTACATGTCCAAGGAAAACACCCCTTTGGGCTAGATGCCGTCACTGGCTGCTGGTTTGCAGCCTTCAACTCAGGCTGACAGCTTCATGGTAAACTGTAAAAGAATATTTCTTTAAGTGGAAAGACGATTCGTGTTGCATGTGCTGCCCAGGAACTAGCTTGACCCAAAGACAAGAGGGTCTCACGTGGACAGACCACCCGACCTTCAGGCAGGTGCATGTGAATACCATTTCTTACAAATGAGCTTTTGGAGGGAGACTTCTGGATGGCACAGAGTGTGACCTTACACTCACCAACACAAACCCAGAGGGAAGATGTATGTGCTCTTGACCGAGGGCAGATTCCAACCCTTTCAAAGGCTGTTGAGTTGGAAATCTGACCACCTGTTGGGAGGTCATACTGCGCACTAGAAATGGCGCGACTAAACCACCCACTGCGGACAACGCCTTTAGGGTGGGAATCTGACTTCAATGAAAAAAGTTGTAAAACTCTGCAGAGAGTATGATCCCAAGTCTGAAAAACTCAATACAGTCCAGCCAAAAATGAGTAAGAGATAAAATGGGAGATGGAAATTGGTAGATACTAACTACTATGCATAAAATAAACAAGTTTACACTGTGTAACTTTTACCTTGTTTTACCAAGTTTAAACTTTTAACTGTTTACCTTGTAGTAACCTATAATGACAAATACGAAAATGAATCCATGTATGTATACGTATGACTGAAACATTATGCTGTGCACCAGAAACTGACACAACATTGTAAACTGACTATACTTCAATTAAAAAAAAAGCAGATAGTGTGTGACCAATAGTACCTACATTTATATGATAATTATGGGAACAAAATGTTGTCATAACAGACTCCAAAGTGTCGACAGTGATTCTCTCTGGGATGAACTGCAAGTGAATTTTTTTTTTAAGTTTTCCTTACCTGTAATTTTTTCAACGATCGTGTGTTACTTTTATTCCTAGTGATGCAAGAATGTAACTAATCAAATTACTTGAGATGTGCAATGGCCACTGTCCTAAAGAGCCAAGAATGGGTTCTCCTGAACTGAGAAAACTTTTAGAAATTGGTGAGATTTCTTTGAAAATGTATTTACCCTAAAACGGGGCTCCAAGAGAGTCTACTGTGCTTTGTAAAAGGTACTACTGAACAGAAGGTTTCCAAAATGCCAGCAGAGCAGATAACACAAGCAACAACAATAAGCAGAAAATGACAGTCGGTGCCCAAAATAATAATAATAATAACAACAACAACAAGCCATATAGAAGGATGTCTCCTTCAACTGTAGAAGTTGACTTTTGCTTTTTTGGAAATAAAAATTTTCATAATAAAGTTTTATTAGCACACAGCTAAGCCGCACTTTATTCCTCTATAACGCGCCTGCCTGGCCCACGGCAGGCACGGTACTGACCCACACTGTGATGATCTCACCACCACCGTCATCATCAGGTAGGTAAAATCATCCAGATCAGGGGCTGGCACACTACCCCCTGCTGGCCAGCTCCGGCCCACTACCTGATTTGATAAAGTTTTATTAGAACACAGCCAGCTCCACTTGTTTACAGACTGTCTGAGGCTGCTTTGGTGCTACAGCAGCAGGGGTGAATGGCTGTGACAGAGACCGTGTGGCCCGCAATGCCTAAAATACTTCTTATTTGCCCCTTTATAGAAAAAAGTTTTCTGATCCATGATCTAGAAACTGTGAAATATTATACAAAAATAAAAGTTCTAATTCTGATGTGTCAAAAAAAATAACTGCAGGAAATTTACCTTTCTTTCCCTACATACATAAAGGCTGTTGGCACCAAGTTTCTGATGTAAAATGGCATTTTAACTGCTGACAGCCCATTTAATCCAGTCGATTTTTATCACTTTTCATCCAAATTGACCACCACTTTGCTCTAAAATATATGCCATCAAAGCAGTTCAAACCTCAAACACCGGGAAGGCAGCGCTTACGCTATTTACGGAGAAACCGATAACCTGCTCTCCTCCTGAGCTACGGCGAAGGGATGCGGGAATTTTCCACCAATTGCACAACCTTTTGCTACCAAAGCAGAAAAGGTTTTTCAAGGAGACAGAAAGGTAATGTTTTTGCATTTAAATCCACTTTTCCTCACAAAGGGAAAATAATTTCTACATAGTAGGAATTGGGTTGTTACCCCAGAACACATTTCATTTAGAAGAGAAGAAAGGAATTTAAAGGACTCATTTTCAGAAGCATTCATCTCAGGCATCTGGAAATGAAAGAGCTGGACCACAGAAGCTGGTCTTTGTAGAAAAAAGTTTTCAAGATTTTGTAAGACTGGTCTCCCATCTCTGTCTTTACATTGTTCAAAATGGATTTCTTTTTTAAACCACCTGGAGGGTGTGGGGAGAAAAAAAAGCCCAAAGAATCCAATTTCAATCTCCTTCACTGAAAAAGAAGCATCATTCTTTGCCCAAAGCAGGCCACAGTTGCCTGCATGACCCAAGAAGTCAGTGAGTTGGGGCACTTTAAAGGTTCTGTGAAGGCGAAAGAAACTTTTTTTAAGGAGTACCTGTCACCATATGAAAGAGGCTGACAGCTTGCCTGGCAAAGCTGAGTTTGGGGACTGAAATGGAAGCTGTGAGTCACGTCAAGGAAGCCCGAGCAGACAGAGTGTATTCAGGTCTCCGCTTCACCGGGTACAGAAGTGAAGTTTACCTTCGTCAACGGAAGCGGTGGAAAAAGCGGGATGCTAATGGGGAAAAACTAGCCCAAAGCAAGCTGTGAGACAGGGTTGTTTTCTGAAAAACACAACTAAGAGCTGTGGACAGCTCGGCAAGTAAAAGTTCTGAGGTTGGGAGGAGGGGGAGGCAGGGTCAGGGGTCTGAAAAGGCAGGTTCTCAGAAAGCTGTCAGGCCTGGAATTTCACTCCCAGCTCTGCCACAGCAGCTGTGTGACCTCACACACCAGTCACCTCAGCACGCCTCAGTTTCCCCCGCTACAGGACGGAGATAAGAGTAATACCATCACTTCGAGTGACCTGGAGGATCAAGTGAGATAAAGTGCTCAGAAAAACGCTTGGCGGCGTCTCGGGGCTGAACAGACGCAAGCAGGCAGCCTGACAAGGATCTGAACCATCATGAAGAGACACCTGCCCAGAAGAACAGAGCGGCTCAAAGTGAACTGAGTGAAAGGGTTCTCTGTGCTTTCTATTTTTGTAATCCACTCAAACGTGCCCCCAAAGTGGATTAAATTTAAATGTTCAACCTATTCTTCCTACAGAGCTGTTGGATCAAAGCACGTTATTAGCCGGGCTACAGAACTCATTCGATTGATAATTTGTAATGCAATGAGCCAGGAGAAGCGACAAAACCCCCAAGTTGCTCCAGGTCCAATTTCAAGTCTCTTTCAAGCTTTGGAACAGCTTTCTCCTAGAAGACAGCCATAAACTGTGTTGGGAAATAGAAACGGCAAGCTTCACCTCCAACGAGGGCCGTGACATCCCACAGCGACACCTCGGTAAACGAAGGCCCTGTCTGAATGGCCAGGTGACAGGATCACAGCCAATGCAACCATCAGAACCGGCTCCAAATACCAGTTCGACCACTTCTCAGTTGTGTGACTCAGGTTATTCTATTCACCCTCTCTGAGCCTCAGCTTCCTGACCTGTTGGTGTGAGAATTAAATGAGAGGGTGCATGCGATGCTGCCACCTAGTTTTTGACATAGCATGTACTTATTAAACGGTATCAACTGTATTCATTTATATCTCACAATTATTCATGCATTCATTCATTTCTAGGTGAATGAGCCACTTTGGGGAAAGGTTCTACTCATTCCATGTAAGACAGGTGTTCAGAGAGATGTTAGCAGCAATTCTTACATACAGGCTTGGACAGGGATAGTCAAACCATGGCTTCTGCAAACCTAACACCAGGGCCACTGTGCTTTGTGTCAGCCCTTCAACACAAGAGAACAGGCAGGTGACAGAAGATTTGAGATCCTTTAAATAAAACAAACAAGAACATCAGGCTATGGGAGGTAAGGTCCTAAGTCCAATGATCGCATATCAAGGGCCACCTTTAAAATGACAGGCACCCTCAGGCAACGTTTTTCACAAGGTGTTTCCCAATCACACCCAAGCAAATCTGCTACAGATCTTCAGGCTGGAAGTCTTCAGGTGCCATCCCTGAGGACCAAACTGCAGAGCCTTCTTTTAAGAAGCAGAAGTCTCTCAGCACCACGGGCTTGACCCACAAAACGACACCTTCCTGAACAAGTCAGAAATGGCTGGCTAGGCTTTAGAAGGGAATTTCTATCAAAAGCCTGAGAGTGGCGAGGGGGTGGGAGGTGCAGCAGTCCACGTGTGTCTGTGTCAGGGAGAATCGGACAGGAAAAAGCAGAGGAAAGAGAAAGCTTTCCAATTGTACCACCTGCAGAAAAACAAACATTAATTGTAGCATCTGAAACCGAAAAGACTCTAATAGGAATGGTAAGTGGACAGAGTCAATAGAAACAAAATCAGAAGACGTCCTCCTCTGTCTCATTCTATCAGGTATTGGGCAGTTGCCTCCCAACAACTTAGTCAAACCTTGCCACATGCTGTTCCTGCCACCTGGACTGCCCTTTCCCTCCCTGTCTCTCTGGCAAGTTCTTATTCTGCCTTCAAAACCCAGCTAGTTTAACCCACTTAGAAATGAACATTTCTGCATATCTTCTCGGAGACACCGTAAATCATGTCACCTCCACTACCAGATCTGAGTTAATTCCCCTCTTCCCAATGTTTCTTGGGCTTCACCGATCACTTGCTGCTATAAATTACTGTTTTATGAAGCTAACTCACCTACCAGGCTTCAAGCCCCTTGAGGCAAGAGAGAGGGTGATTCATCAAAGTATTCACTAATCCAGCATTCATTCATTTATTTGTTCGCTCATTCATTCATTCATTCATCCACGCATGCATTCCAACACTCCCTGAACACGCAGGTGGGCCTTGGTCGTCTGCCACCAGGGCATCCACTTCCAGCCTAGCAAAAGTCTCAGTGTTCATCTGTGTTCACCCCCTCCCCACATCTGAACGGAGCTCTTCTCTTAGCCTTGGCACACGAGTGGGATCCTGAGATTGGCTGAAAAGGGAGAGGTGGACCTAAGTTCACTCTATTGGCAGGATCTCAAGGCTTATCCCAGGGGTGAAGAAAGAGACTCCTCTTCTTCCTCTGAATGTGAACCTAGAAGAAAAACTATCTGCCCAGGGGTTATCACAGACATTTGTGACCAGGAAGGATAAACCCACCAAAAATGACATCAGTCCAGACACAGTAGAGGCAAGGGCCAGAGAGGGAGACAGGAGCTGGGTAACAGAGCTCACATCCCAAGATTCAGCCATACCTAAAGCCAAACTCTCCCTTCAGTCATGAAATTCTTTCTGGGCACAATCAGGGTAGGCTATGCTCTGCTATAATAACAGGCAAACCCTGGTATCTCAGTGGCTGAGCAGATAAGGTCTATTTCTGTTCTCACAAGGTTTGTAGTGGGCCCAGCAGCATGACAGGACCACTCCCTTCTAAGTGGTGACTTGGGGATCCAGGCTAGTGTCACCCTGTTGCTATGCCACATGGAACACATGGCTTCCAGGGTCACCATGGCAAGGGGAATGAGAACAGAGAAAATTCACAGCAACTCCTCTATACTTCAGCCTTGGCTGGCGCTCGTCACTTCTGCTTATAGCTCGCTGGCCAGAGCAAGTCACATGGTCTCAACCTAACCTATGGGAGACAGGGAAACGCACCAGTTCTGCTTGTCCAGGGAGAGAGAAATGAGACAGCACCACCTCAGCCACACCAGACTGTCACCTACAACCTAAAGACTCCGAAATGATATAAGCTCCAGCCGGGTGCCAGGGATCACGGTAGATGCGGGGACGACAACGGTGAACAGGACAACTGGAGAGCTGCCATCACAGAGCCCACAGCACAGGGAGAGGCGGAGAAGAGCGAGGGAGACAAGCCTAGACGAGACAAACGAACACTTGGCAGCG